AACTGACAAATCAGAGGGTCATAATGTCAGGCTCCTCTGTTTTAATATTAAATAATTATTCCATGTAGAAAGTTACTGATTAAATATAATTGGAGTGGTTGTACAACAGTGTATCTTGTAGCCTTCTAACTGAAATACTCATCGGGTGAGGTTGAACTCTTCCAAAGAAAACAGAGACTAAGTTTCCGAGGCGGGACTACACTGATCACCATGCTACTGGTTTGACAGCACTCAATGTCAGTTTGGACGCAATTTGTTTGAACAGTATATCACTAACATTTTGGAATGGCACTGAGTCAAAGCAAATCAGAGGAGATGGGATCATGCTTTAATTTCCTGATTTTGTTTGTTTGTTTGCCTGTTTTATTTTTAAGGAAAACAAGGAAATGATAGAGATAGAAGAGTAAAACAGGGTAGCAAGATGTGGAATAGAAATCAGGACAGTGAAAAACTACAGGAATCCGTAATGTTTCAAAAAACATCGCAGGGCAAAGTAGCAGGATCAACAGTGGAGAGGCCAGGGACCCCAGCTGAGCAAGTGCCATTGCAACCTCCTGAAGTATGCCTGACACATATTTGGCCAAACCCCACAGCTGAGAAAAGTAAAAGAGTTGATTACATCTGGGGCTTGATGGGTCTGGAATTACACTGAGCTTCCTCTCAGTTTCATGGGGAATCTGATAAATCATGTGGAAAGCATAAAATGCCCATAGTCCTACATGTCTTCAGATACAGATTTTGTTTTGTTTGTCACTTGGACTGTGGTTTCCCCTTTTCTGTATTACCAGTAAACTGAAAGTGTATTTAAGTTTCAAAAAATTGTGATAGCCACTCTAAACAGAAGTTGAACAATCATTCAGGCAGGCTTTTAGTGTAGATGAAATAAACAGCTTTGCTAGCTCTAAACCACTCCATTCGAAAACAATACCAAGAATGAGCTGTTTGTGGCAGTCCTCTAGTCAGGTGAATCCATTTAATGAATAACAACAGTATGCACACTCAGCACAATTTCACATAGGGGCAAAGAGCTTAACCCTTACCAGGTCAGAATCAATGGGAGCTTTAATGTTGACAACTGACACAGGATCGGATGCTTTCCCCCTGTGCTGCTGAGACAGCTGAGCTACAGTGCAATGTTGGGAGAAGTGATAAATCCTGGATATGGTCTCTTTGAACCTCTTTTTGTACAACTTAAAAATGGAATTAATCTCTGCAAAGAGGCAAGTCAGTCATTTGCAGACAAAGAAAAGGCACACAAGACAATCCATTCCATCCGTAAAAGACTGTAAGAGGGGTTTAGCTGTTCTCTTGTATATTTACTTTCTCCACTGATTATAGAGGGAGAGTAGAATATGAGTTTGCATTAGATATCACATGTTTAGGTAGGTAAAAATTAGGTAACATCATTCTTGAGAATCCTTCTGTGAATTATGAGTGGAAGTAAACCACATGAGAGCAGATGCAGTGAGACTTAGCAGCTCATCTACGAGGGGAATGTGGAAGTCCCTTGGCCATTCTGGCTTAAAAAAAATGAATATCTCAGGTTGAATATCTCTCATGAAGTGAGAACAGAATGGAGCCTTGTTCTTGTTCTGCGTTTCTATGGGGAAGAGTCACATCGTGCCAGCCCAAGGGTGCCAGCCTTCAGCATTTCTACAGCTTAGAGAGCCAGATTTTGGGCAGTCTCCAGAGCATGAGTACAGATTAACAAATCAGGATCCAATTAGCCATAGGCTCCAAATACCTCGTAAAGAAACCAACCATCTCTTTTATAAGGTTAGAAAAATTAAGAAAAATTCCAGTGATGACATTAACACTTGTTTGTGCCTGTATTGTTACTGGCAAGAAAAAACAGAGTTTACCTGGCTGAGGCTGACGTTGGACTGTTTTGCCTATTGAGCAAGGAATTGAATGGATCTGTTTGTTTTTCTGTATGGAAACTTACTCCCAAAAAATCCAAACCTGTTTTAATTTCTCTTTCAAGTGCAGTGCTGACTATCACCTAGGGCAAAGCAGATGATCTTCTGCAAATTCAAGATAAAAGTCAGTGCAGACAGACCTTATTGCACAGTTGCAGATCTAAGTGACAAAAATTAAGTTGCTCAGAGTCCTGCAGATGATGCCATTCTGGAGAGAAGTGTTTTTAGGTCCCCTCTATTTTTTTTGCAGGAAGTTCGGCACTCTTCCTCCCACACTTACTCTCTATGGTCACTGCAGAGATCCTTGAGTTATGGGTTTTGTCAGATGCAGCCCCTGTAAGTAATGTGCCCAACAGTATTTATAAAATCAATAACATTTAAAAAAGAAAAAAAATATATCTTTACCCAGGCAAAATCAAAAAAAGATATTTCTCTAACTTTTCTGAGTTTGTAAAGTAATGGGAACTTTCTTAACACTTTGAACAGGTTGGACAAAGTTGAATAAGAAAGAATGATAGCTTTAACTCATGATGTATAGTGTTTTAGGAACAACATTTTTTTTTTTTAAATAATAGTTTTAGCCTCTTTTGGACTTCTTGTTGTAATAGCTACCTCGTTTCATTTAAATTATACTAAACATGGTGAGTTTTGTAGTCCGCTCTAAAGAAAGAGTAATGTTAAATCACGGTAAGAATTCTAAGAACAAAGCCAAAATTAAAGATATGCATGAGCTGAAATCTTGGCTCTATATGCAAATGAAACACAGGTAATTATTTTCGCTCCTTATATCAACAGGAAAATCTCTACATCACTTTCTTGGTGGAAGTTATCGCTATGTTTGTACTAGAGCACAAAATAATCTCTCTCATAAGACCACACCGAAATTAGATTTTCTCCAGTGGTCTGAATTTTGACATTAAGGCTGTGGTTCGGTGTCTTCTCCTGTCATCTTGGCATTTGCTGGTTTGTATCATCCAAGGTCAAACCTCAGATGGGACTTTTAAGCCTCCACTGCTTGCACTAATGATGTAACCATGAGTGTTATGTGGAAGACGGAGCATCAATAGCCAGTTTGTAAAGGAAGGGGCCATGCTTTGACTTTGAGAGTGGCCTAATTTTTCCAGGATGATGAAAACCTTGTCATAAGCTGGATCAGGATACTCAGTGCGCTGAACTGGTTCCCAGGAGAGCTTCAAGACTGTTGTTGGACAAAGGGGAGGAGGTAATTGCTTAGTCAGGGCAAATGATTGCATGTGAAGAAGCTGAGAAGTAGACTGCTTAACTGAATGGTGCTCAGAAATTATTGAACATCTCCAATTACTGATGCCTTGATCTTTTTCTTGCAAAACTGTCTTGTGAAAATATTAGGTGCAGTGTTTTGAGTGTATCATTGAAACAGTCCAGTCCTAGAAGGCAAGTATGGAAGAGCTTAAGACTAGAACTGACTAATCTGACAATGTAAAATATTTTGTTTGAGTGGCTGAGAGCTGCACAAGAGTAAACAAATTGCACTGGAAGATTAAGATGACCCAAGACTCCAATATATGCCTTAAAAGAAAGTTATTTTTTTCCTGAGGTCAAGCTTTTCTTAGTTCTGGTTAATTTGTTTAACTTTATTAACCTCCTCACAGATTTATTTTACACACAATTTCATTGCACTGGAGCTAAAGCCTGGTCAGCCTGGCATTGCATCATGAATGGATACATACTTGTCTGACCAGTGAATGACCTCCCACTCCACCCCAAATAAGTATGAAGTTTTCCTCTCTGTGTCAGAAGTATTTACTGTTATTCATGCTTCAGAAATATTGGTTTTGGTGTATATTCATGTGGGGCTACAAGTAGAGAGAGGGGTGTGAGCAGGCATGCGTGTGTACACGTGTGTGCATGCAAGACAACTCTTGAAATTAATTGCCATGGCTCACAAAACTCTCTGGATCTGTTTACATTCCTGAGGCAAATTCCTTAATATATCTGTAGTTAAACTCCCACAGCTTCTAAATATATGGCTTTGGTATGCTATCTTCCTCAGTACAGGGAACTGCAATGGACATTTAATGCCTGTGGAGAATAAATGTGCCACTGATATAAACACAATGGCAATGTGTTAATATGCTCTTCTAATGCTACTTAGTCCTGGGGATCAGGTATTGGATTTTCTGCGTAGAATCTTCATATAACAAGGAAAAGAGGAAATTGTTTGGTTTGAAAGTGGAGAGGGAGGTTGAGGGGGAGGAGGAGGGTAGTGGAAGAAGGGAGTGGAATGTTTTAATATTTTCAGTAATGATCTTGCTGTTGATGGGGACTCCTACTCACTCACCGAAGGAGTTATGCCAAGTGTTTGAATGGAGCAAAATTTGGCCCGGTGTATCAGATAATTTGTAGTCTTGTGGTCTGGGTAGCACTCATTCAAGACACCAGTAAGAGGCAGTTGTGTCTTCCTACAGGAGAACAGTTAGGGGAGTTCCTTCTCCAGTCCTCGAGACCATATCAATCAAGACCAGAGTGTGGTGGTAAATTGCTCAATGTCTGGATGAAGATCAGTGACGAGTGGTTTCCCCCAGGGATCAGTGTTGGGACCAGTAATCTTTAATATCTACATCAGTGACATTGAAATGGGGTTGAGTGCACCCTCAGCAAGTTGGGGATGACACCAAGCTGTGAGGTGTGGTTGATGCACAAGAGAGACAAGATATCATCCAGAGAGACCTGACAGGCTGAGCAGTGGGCTGAGGAGAACATCATGAAGTTCAACAAATTCGAGTATAAGGATTTGTACCTGGGACAAGGCAATATCCACCATCAGTACTAGCTGTGAAAGGTTTGAGCACAGTCGCAAAAGATCTGGGGGTACTGGTGGATGAGAAGCTGGACACGAGCCAGCTCACAGCCCAGAAGGCCAACCATATCCTGGGCTGCATCAAAAGAAATGTGTCCAGCAGGGCAAGGGAGGTGAACCTGCCCCTCTACTCTGCACTAGTGAGACCTCACCTGGAGTACCACATCCAGATGTGGAATCCTCAGTGCAGGAGAGACACAGACCTGTTGGAGCATGTCTGGAGAAGGGCCACAAAAATGATCCCAGAGATGGAGCACCTCCACTGTAAGGACAAGCTGCGAGAGCCAGGGCTGTTCAGCCTGGAGAAAAGACAGAATATGGATAAATGATTTCAAGCTTAAGGTGTGAAAATTTAGGTTAGAAATAAGGAAGAAGTCTTTTACAGTGAGAGTGATGAGGCACTTGCCTAGAGATGTGGTGGATGCCCTGTCCCTGGAGACTTTCAAGGTGATCAGGTCCTAGGCAACATGATCTATCTGTCCATTTTTGTGTTCTTTGAAGGGGAACAGGAATAGATTACCTATAAAGGTCCCTTCCAACTCTAAGGATTCTACGATTCTAGGATTCTATGATATCAGTGCCATTCGCAATGTGCTTTCAAGGCCAGAAGTACCAGTTGAAATGTCAGGATCTGGAAAGTAAAAATTGGCCTTGGTTGTGTATCTCCCTTTTGCTCCCAGCAACGTAAGCACCCCACATTTGGCCAAAACTCTCAAGCAAATCAGCATCAACAAGTTACAATCTCTCAACTGAATACATGCATATATCTGTTTTATTTTCCAAAGTAAAGATCCCACCAAAAGAGTCAGTTATGCAAGAGATGTATTAAATGCTGTAGCAAGATATTCTTGCAAAATATTTAATTCCATTTACCAGGATTCCTGGTGTTAGAGGCTAGTACTAGGGAATGTAGCATTCAATAAGACTGTGAGTGACTGGAGCTTGTGCAACAAGTACTTTGCATAAGACCATAAAACCTGTCCCATTGTCTAAATGCAAGATAAAGAAAAGAAGAATGGAGTTCAGCATTATAGAAGTACATACATATTTAGAGGGGAGAAAAAGTCACTCATATCCAAGGTTCCTTTTATTTTGAGATTTGTAAGACTGAACACTTTTTCAATTGGTTTTGGTTATTTTTGTAATGGCAGGGCCTGCAAAATCCTATGATGCAGTGGGCTCAAAGGTGCAGATGGCAGGGAGGGCTCTCCATTATTTCTGCATTCCTTTCTGGTTGCTCCACTCATTGTGGGTCCATAAGCCAATTCCAGAACCAGTGGGGCTTTCACATATGGTTATATGTTCAAGCTGCTTACAACAGTTCCCCATGTTGCCTTCCTCTCGGCTTGGTGTTCCTTCTATTGCATCGTGCTGAAAAGGGAGACAGAATGAACATTACATGTTTTTTGTGAGCACTACTTGGAACAATATCATTGGAATTACACAAGGGGAAGAAGGAATGAGGTCTGCATCAATGGCAAAAACCAACAGAACTGATGGAATCTAGATCTACTCCTAAGGAAGGAAAGTTTCTCTTCTTCAAGGTGTTGGCCTGTAGCCCAATCTCAAAACATACGTACTAAAGGAATAGGAGTTGAATAAAACCATGGCTGAACTTGTGAAGGAGACAAAAGCTAACTAGAAACATGAGCAACCTCTTTTTGGGATAAATGCTCTCTAATTTCATATTGTACAGATCCAAAAATAGATTTTCCATCTTCATTCCAACCAGGAGACAAACTCCTACTCCTGCTGCTGCTCAGGAGACTTTGCCTGCTATCACACTTGGACATCACATGTTGATTCAGAAAGTCACGTGCTTGAGCAAAGATCAGTGGTGGTTTGTGATGTCTGCTGAAACATTTCTGGAAATCAGTTATTGATTAAATCTTCATTATCACTCATAACAGATTACTGTTCTAAGGGCACTTTTGGGCACACTTGATGCAATTTGCCCAGAGATATGCCTAAGTTTGGTCAATGCCTGAAGGTAAGTACTGTTTTATTGCATTTAACTCTTAGCTCAGCAGGTGTTCATGAGTGTTCAAAATGTAAACATGAAAATTTGACTTCAGATAAGAAGTTCTATCCAGAAACATGTGATAGCTACTCAACCACTTGTGTCCATCTGCCATCCTGTTGCTATTTTGCTGTGAAGCATATGCACTTATCTCTCCTTTGTGTTCTAATAGCATCCATAATAGTAACCATCCCAGCATACTGCACTGAGTTGTGTGTAGGGAACACATTGCTCCATGCTGAATTGCACAGTTTTGAAACCACAACCTTGAGCAGGATAAGCAAGACAGCAAAAATTAAAAACAAACAAAAATAAGAAGAACAAAAAAGCCAAAGTGAATTGCTCTGGTTTGGATATTGGTCAAAATACCAGAACTCAGCTATTGTTGCTGGAACTTGACCCTATCACCCCAGGAACTGAGCTGGGAAGGAGGAAAGGAGGAAACAAAGTCAGGTGTTCTTTAAGGAGAAATCAGGTCAATATCAGTTTTCCTGCCACAATGCAAATAAATCTGTTTGTAGCAAAGATTTGCCAATTCTTACTCAATTAACCTGCTTGACTGTACTGTTTCCTGGGACAGCACTGCCTACAGAGGCTCTATCCTGTCCAAATCATCAGGATCTAACCAAAGTTAACCTTTTCTGAAGGATATTAGCATTTTGAAACCCTAGAAAGATGCTTGGTTTGTCCAGCGACCTGCTGGGAGTGAACACAGATCTGTGGAGACATTGCATTGGCATTTCTCAGAAGCTGAAATGTCCTGTAACACGACACACCATTCTTTAAAAAAAGCTGCCTCAGGCTGATTCATTTAAGGGGAAGTATTACTTCCCCCATGTCATTTTTAGCCCAAACAATGAACACTATTATATCTTTTGTACTCTCTTAAGTGCGAGTGGGAGAAAGCAAGTCACAAGTTTTACTTACTGAACCGATTGTTTGATTGCCTCTTAAAAACATTCATAAGACTTGGATAGCAGTGCTGCAGCTGCAGCTGTGGTTCAGATTTTGTATTCCTTTAGAAGAGATTTTGTATTCCTCCTGATAGACAGATGGGTGTCCCCTGTGTTCCGGAGGATTACAAAGCAAAAGCTTTGTTTCTTGCAAAGCCACAGGAAAAAATAGATACTTTATGATCTTAAGTTTTCCTCTGCCCTTTAATTGTTCATGCGTATGTGTTGCTGACAACACGTATGTCAGAATGTGGAGTTAACAAACAATCAAATAATAAAAAAGGGATATGGGAAGCAAGAACACCAGCTGAACAGTCATAGAATGGTAGAATTGCTTTGGTTGGATGGGACTTCAATGATCATCTAGTTCCAATCTCCCTGCCATGGGCTAGACCAGGTTGCCCAGGCTTCCATCCAACCTGGGAAAATAAAATGTGCTCATTTCTGTGATTGCACAGATCAAAGTGCTGCACATTGCACTCGGTCTTGTTGAATCTCTAGCTTGATCAGGGTAAGGCTTCACATGTAGCACTGCTGCAGTGTTCACTGTTAGGTAGGCAGAGCATTATTATAAGTTTTGGCTGCTGCACATGTCAGAGTGTCATTTCAGAAGTGATGGGACATGCATGCAGCTCTTTGAATATGAGTGCAATAAAGTCTGAGGGAAGAGGAATTATTTCCATGTGGTGAACATGGGTAAACCACCAACATGTAGGCATACAAATAGCCTGCAGTCCTCTGCCTTTTCCAGCTGTGCCAACTGACAAAAATCATCACCTATTATATTTCTTATCTCACAGTTTTGATTTTTGTTCCAAAATCACTGAAACACAGCTGCAGGGTTGATCTTCTATTTGTCATCCCTGTTCTGCCTGCCCTTTCCCACCATCCCTCACCCCATTTTCACGCTTCTGCCCAGAGATGTCACGCTCCACAGGGCAGAACCCTTATTGTGACACCAGTGCCAGTTTTGTCTCTTCTCCTCCAGCTCCACATCAATTGCCCATCCACTCATATTCTGTCCACACTAAAAAGATGTGAAATGCCTTTCCCTTCTGATACAGTTTCTACCAGAGGTGCCCCAGATTGGAAAGTCTCTATTGACAAAGTTTCAGTGCCAAGATATCGTCCAAAATTCAGAGGAGGAAAAGGATCCTGGAACTCCTGGAGACCTGGTCCTCCAGATCTTTGAGGGTTGCTTTCAGCTGAGGAGTTACAGAAAGCAATCCAAGCTCCACCAAACAACTCCGAATTATGGAAGCAAAGGTCACTTGGAAGTGGGAATCATGAATTTTCTATTGGAAAACAAAAAATAAAAATACCCTTTTGTCATTGTTGTTGTTAATTTGTTTTTATTTTTTCCCCCTCAATGTTTTTGTCTGAATTAAGAAATTCTTTGATCACCTTCTGCTAGGATACATTTTGAATTTATTTGTGTCTGCCTTTTGCCATGAAAGGTAAAGATTTCCCAGATTACTTCTACAGTGTGCATACCCACAAATGTCCTCCTCCTCCATCATCTCCAAGAAGGGACCATTAGTCCTACACACTGCAAAGAAAGATTATTATTTTTACTTGATTGTTAATTCATCTAATATTTAATACCATATCTCTGTGGGGAAGAGGCTAATAAAACTTTGTCAGACTGCATGCAGTGGGCTGTATTAGGAGTCTATGTGAGTGGCCACGTCTCACACTACGGAGCAGCCGTTGGAGGGAGGCACTGCCCTCAGAAGTACAGCAGCACCAGCATTTTCTGGCTGCTCACTGAGTAGGAAGTTAAGATTTGAGAGGAGAGTATAGGTCAAAGCTGTATCAAGTATCACAGAATCACAGAATCACAGATAACTCTGGAATCCTTTGTATATTCAAGCAGGACAGGCCCCTGAATAAGCTCAATCCACCCAACAAGTATTTCAGGAATGCACCTGGGATGTAGCGTGCTGGAATAACTCAGCCCACAGCAGGTGAGGCTCAACTGCTCTTAAGAGAAAAACACCTGGGACAGAGCACAAAGAACATGGGTGGGAGGGCCAAGATGTTGGAGCCTGAAGAAGACATCACACTGAACTGTGAAGGATTGCACTCGGCAAAAAAATCCTCTAAGATCTGATGTTATAAATGGTATAATTGGAATGAGGTTTTGAAATGTCTTTTAGGAATTTGTCTTTTTGCTTGCTACATGTTTGATAGGAAGCTAGATAAGGTACTGCATTTTTGCCTCACTGCAGCCTCACTGCCTCTGTCAGAGGTTTGGCAGGAAGGGCAAATAGCCAAAATTCCATATTACTGCATTGTTTTCAATGCACTGCTCAGTGTCCATTGAGGTGACTTGCTCAGCCACAGCTGAGCTCAGTAGGATGCTCCACAGAATGGTAGGACCAATAGCTCAGAATGGAGAAATGATAGGTTTGGGAGAGCTTGAATGTAAAGCCTATCTGTAGAGGAGAATGAGAAAGAAGGATTTCTTCTTCTGACACAGATTTATATTTAGTGAAGCTCTTAGGAGTGATGAAAACAGCGTGACTCCAGAAAACTCATAAGAAAGACTACTATAGGCTAGATTAATTTGCTGGATGACATCTAGCACAGGTAACCTGCAGTCTTCATTGCACTGAATGTCAAACATTTCTCTGTCTGTCACTGAAATCCAATTTGCAAGAATTACAGTTAATCCTAGCTGGAACTCTCAAGACAAACTGAGAGACCTGGGGACATATTTTGTATCTCTTATCCTCCCAGAAAGTATTTACATTGCAAAAGGTCAGGCTTCTAGAAACTAACACTGGTGAAGCTTTGCATTTCTGAAGGATTTGAATAGCGCTATTCTAGCTCACTTGCTGCAGGTTTTGTTTCCACAAAAATGACATAATCATCATAAATAGCATTTTTGTATGGTACTATGCATGCCATGAATTGATATGTTAATTCCCTAAAGCATCTGGTCCTCCATATTCATAGGTCCTTTAAAGGATCACAGTCTACATCTTAGCATCCTACTATTCCCTACATTCTGCTATGGATGAAGACTATATTTCTCAGTGAAATATGAAATATATTAAAGACACTTCAGCTGGACATTCTCTGAAAGATATTTCTAATGAAGTGCTCATGGAAGGATGTTTTGGAGAAGAAAGGTAGGAGTATGCAAATGCAAAGTCATTTGTTAGGAGGTAGGAGGTATTGTTAGCAGCAGTCCTGTGAAAATTTGGCATCCAGAAATTTGGCAATGTTGACTCAGAGCAATGCTCTCCAGTAGCCAGCCAAGTTTTCCATCTAACCATTTACAGGCATAATTTAGAAAGATGCTGCTTGTGTATTTAATAGAAATTAGACTCCTGTGTGATGCTGACTTTTCTGACACCAGCTTCCACTGCAGCTGCTGACAGTGAGATGACCTGAGCTGGGCCCTGCAGAGCTTTGGTCAAAGAACAAACCAGATGGAAAGAAAATGAAGAGAAACCAAAAGGAAGAAACAATTTGAATTTTATGCTGATAGCTGAATTAATGCAATGCTTTGTCCTAGGTTTTATTGAGGTTAGGTTTTCTTTAATGGGTTTGTTCCATACTTATGAATTTGGAGACTTGTGTAGCAAAGAAAAAGTCTGGACTTCAGTCTGAAGTCCACTGGCAATTGTTTTGTTTTGTTTCTGACTTACAATAGCATTCAGTACTCAAGCGGTCTCATCACAAGACCAGCACTACCCATTCATATGAGGCCTCTGCCTTTCAATAAGATTTTTAGGGCAGGTCAGCACCAAAGTGGTGATAACATCAGTTTCATGCAGAGAGCGTCTGTTTTCTTTTCAGCATAGAAAGGAGTAGAGTTGGAGATGGGAGAATTGACACATCTTCCTCCTCGTCAGTGTCCAGGGTGTCAATTATTTTGTTATGCCTTCTTTGAGGAAGAACATTTCTGAGACTTGGATAAACAAATGATGTATTGTCTTAGTTTGAGGAATCAGAATACTGATTCATCCCAAACTCAGAGAGCCCCAGTCCTTCTAGAATCAGGTCTGTAATGTTTTACTAATTCCTCAGCCTCTTCAGAAATTGATTATTCTTATTGCCATACCCAATCTTACCACTGCTGAAGCAATATTTTCCTCACAGTTATCATCTTCCCTCCCTGTAATAATCTATTTGCTGACCTGATCTGTGAAGATAGTGCCACTCAGAACAATTCACTTTATCCAGTTTTGCTTGACTTTTTTCTACCAGCTGATCAAGTATGATTCATTACTGTGGATCCACAGTAGGAATTTCCCATTCAAATCCTAGATGAGTTCATACTGAACTCTTAATAGCAAGAATTCGAGTTTAGCTTTAATATAAGATTTTTTTTTCTTTTTTGGATATAATAAAGAACAGTAAAAGAGAAGACGGTATTACTGTCCATATGTGAAGGCTGATACTCTCTGTTTGTTACCAGCACTAGTGGTTAACAGTTCTATATATCCTGACCCACACTCATAGAATTACGCAATCATAAAATCATTTCAGCTGGAAGTCTGACCCTCAGAAGTCATTTAGTCCAACTCCCATGCAACAAACAGGGGCACCTACAGATGGACCAGGTTGTTCAGTATCCTGTCCAGCCTTAATGTCTCCAGGAGTGGGGCATCCACCATCTCTCTGGGCAACCTGTTCCAGTGCTTCATTACCCTTAGCATAAAAATCATTTTCCTTATATCCAATCTAGTTTTCCTCTGCTTTTGTTTGAAACTATTTCCCCTTGTCCTATCACAGCAGACCCTGCAAAAAAGTCTGTCCTCTTCCTTCTCATAGCCCTCATTTAGATTCTGACAAGCCACTCTCAGGTCTCCCCACAGCCTTCTCTTCTCCAGGCTGAACAGCCCTGGCTCTGTCAGATTGTCCTCACAGTGGAGGTGCTGCATTTCTGGGATTATTTTTATGGGTCTCTTTTGGACACGCTCCAACAGGTCCATGTCTCTCTTGTACTGAAGAAACTAATTTCCTTAAGAAGATCATTACCTTTGCTCTCTTTCGTCATGTGCTCAGGTTGACTTTTTTTCTCATTTGACCCTAGACTTGCACACTTCAGTGAAGGGATTTTAAAAGTGACTTGAGAATTTATGGCTTGAATAATCTGAAGACTCTTAATCTCTCAGCTCTGAATTGTGTGCCGTTCGGGGCATGTGCACCACATGGATTATAGACGTAGTTCCGGTATGAGGCAGTTGAGATATAAATTAACATTGAACCATGTAGCCAGCCTTGATGACCAATAACTGTATCATCTCAGCTAGAAGAGTAAGGTGAGTCATTAGACACAATGACATTGTTCTACCCACACATGAGGTAGGGCAAACTGATGACCTTCAGGAAGAGGAGAAATGGCTTTAGGCTGGAAGATGGTACATTTAGACTAGGTATCAGGAGGAAATTCTTTACTGTGAGGGTGGTGAGACACTGGAGCAGGTTGTGTTCACTGTGAGACTGTGGATGCCCCCTACCTGAAAAAGCATTCAAGGCCAGGCTGGATGGGGCTTTGAGCAACCTGGTATAGAGAGAGGTGTCCCTGCCTATAGCAGTGGGTTGGAACTGGATGATCTTAAAGGTCCTTTCCAACCCATCCATTCTATGATTTTATAATTCTGATTCTATGACCTGTTTCTTACTTCTGCATTGGAAGGCAGTTTAGAGGGCAAAAGATCACCATAGATTTTCAAGGAAATATAGGGAATTTTCAAGCAGAAAAAAGAAGGATCTCAGACTCATGGGAACCACTTAGCAGGAGGGGAAAAAGATTGACATTGTTTATTGGGAAAACAAACTATAGCAGAGAAGGTAAAAGGCACCTGGGAATTCAGATGATTACAATGGAGGATGTGACTCGAACTTAGGAAATTTTTTAGGTCTATGCTTGTGATTTTTCCTCATATGAACAAAAGAGGAGAAAGGATGACTTGAGAAACCTGGTGTGAAGATCTTATGTGTTGGTATGTGTGCATGTGTGTTGAATACTCCCTATGTGCATCTCCCTCAATGGGAATGGTGATAAAGCCAACAGTGAAGCTGCAGGACAGAGGGCTCTGCATGAGGCCCAGGAGGCAACGTAAGTGCAAATTCTAAGATTACATGAAGCTTTTGCAAGTGTGCCTAGAGTCCAAGGCGGTAGCAAGAACTGGAAACTTGCTGCCTGACTGACCTGTTCTCCCCATGTCTAGAAATAAAGCTATCATTAGTAACACAGGATATGAAACAAAGAGAAAAATGCAGGCCAAGTTGAACATTAACAGATTATAAAACTTGCTATGCTTGGTGAACTCCAAGCTGAGTTGTGTAGTGTTAGGATAATAAGGTAAAACGTTAACTCAATAAAAATCCCAGTGGTAAATCAGCAACCAATTCCCTAAAATCAGTGAATTTTCCTCCAAGCACATCCATCATGTCTCACTGGAGTGAATGATCTGCAGTCCTGGGACACACACACCTTTCATGTGATCACTGCTGAAAGAACAGTGCTGCCTGACTTGTTTCTACTTGCATTAGCCCTGAAGATGTCATTGCTTCTGATTAAACATTCTCTTTCATCCTCCCTCTATTCTTCTTGACTGTTTTTGAGAATTAAACTCTATGGCCATATATGGTTCTTCAGCCCACATACATTGACTACAGGTCTGGGTGTGATTTGTTTCCATAAAAACTCTTCTTTCTTTTTTTTAACTTCACAGTTCCTGTAAGAGAATGTCTTCCTGAAATGCAGACAGAAAACAAAGCAAAGAGTAAGGTATGAAGCAAAACTTCCCAAATACTGCATATTATCTCTCTCAATTTGCAGATAATATTTGCCCATAACAACCAGTTTTGCCATAAGCCCCACTTACCAGAGGATTTCAGAATGAGTTATGATGAAAAGACATCTTTTCTGGCCAGCAGAAAACCACAACACATGGAGCACACTTTCTTGACCCTTGTCTCTTGCAGCCATCATGCCACTCTTTTATCTCCACTGACAGCATCTTCCGGGCCACTGTAATACACTGAAAGGAATACTACAGCCTCCAAAGGAAATGTTTTCCAACCTGTGTCAGTAAATATGTGCTTACCTCACCTGCAGTCACCTGACTAAGTGTACTCACAGAAACAACAACATATGAGCAATTGAGATGAATGTACACAGATCTGTGCAAAGGCATTACTAACCTGTGAATGATCAGTGACTAGGGCAAAATTTTGGTGTCTGTACCACTGCCTTTTCCCGGCTGCCAGGAAGGCTGATGTTGCATGCTTGGAGTCTGGGTGCCTGGAGAGTTCTCACAGTTGCAGCCTGGAGTTTCCCTATGCCACTGAAATGCGGTCTGCACGCATCCATGCTGGGGCTGTAGGCAGACATCAGTGACCACCCAAGAGTTTCTGCTGTCAAATGACAGATGCTTCTGTTGTCACAGGGGTGAGGTGACTGATCCAAACAGTTCCGTACTACCTCACATCTCACTGTCAGGTGCCTGTTGGCCTTCGGTCTTCTTTCGCTTTATTTATTTCTTTTTTTAATTAGAAATTGTACAGCTACTGAAGAAGCTTTGTGGTGCTATCAAAAGCATCCAAGACACTGTACTCAGATAAAGGTGCAGATGCTCACTGTTGTCTCTTCCCATGAGAAATTCAAATCTCTTGTAAATATGTGATGAAACACAGACATTTTAATGCTTAACACTTTGGAGAGCCCATAGAGTGTTTATATCTGGACAATGTCTCAGCAGAGAATAAAATATTTAATAATCAAGCACTTTGCTGCTGCAGGAGACTGGTTCACAAGCTCCCTTGATATCTTCCAAGAGTTGGACTTGATGACCGTTGTGGGTCTCTTCCAACTCAAGATGTTCTATGATTCTATCATACTTACAGAAAACCCTGAAGGACACTTTGCATCCAGGTATTATTTTGGCTTTTACATGAAATTTGTTTTTTTTCTAATAACAAAGTTCTTTCACCTGACAAATGGTTTTGTACATGACATTTGGTGGGAAAATCCCTGAGTCCCTTTTTTTTGTGAGATCTCTTGCCCTCTTTTTCACTCTTTGGATTGCTCTCCCAGGCATCTGGCAATGCTGACTGCACAAAACTGACAGTGTTAATTAAAAATTGATACAGCATAAAACTATTTTCCCCTCTTGTCTCATTAAGGAGTTTAATAAATAGCACTATGAACCTGAGGCTGTTTTTGCAATAAGTGGGTTTAATTAGTGTTTAACACAGTCCAAAAAAGAGAGGAGAATTTCAGAATCAATGCTGGGAAGTTAATGACATCATTGCCAGGTTGAAAGAATTTCTTTTGTCAAAAGCAACCATAAAATTTGTCCTGGAGACCTCTGGATTTGTTTCTTCTGGCTGTCTGTGGTCAGGCACTTTCAATTTTCAGTTTACAGGAAGAACACATCCACTAATTCACCCCTCCTTTCACTGTGCCGCTTCTTCAAAATCTGCCCGGGCTGTTGACATCCAGCTGTGTGCTTTCAGACTCAGCCAGTGTCACCAGGAATAAAGACTGCAGAAATGTTTCTGCCTTCATTCACTTTGCTCATCTTCACAGCCTGTTTCTCTGCTGGAGGTGATGTGAGTAAGGAGACGCTTTGGGGGCAAAGAGCCCTGTCTGGGAATATGGAAAAAAATGACAGTAAGCATCTGCACTGGTTCTCCTGGGAAAAAAGGGGTTAAATCTCAGAAGGCATGTTGTTATCAGTAGTGGCTCTATACGAATATGTACAAAGCTTTAGTACCATGAACTTTCTCAACAGTCATTTTAAGAGCTGTGTTTTGAGCACACAGAGAAAAGATTAGATGTCAGGGGGAAGTTCTTTACTGGGAGGGTGGTGAATTGCTGGCACAGGCTGTCCAGAGAGGTTGTGGATGCCCCATCCCTGGAGGTGTTCAAGGCCGGGTTGGATGGGGCCCTGGGCAATCTGATCTAGTAGTTGATCTAGTGGCTGGCTGCTCTGCCTGTGGCAGGGGGGTTGGAACTTGATGATCCTTGAGCTCCCTTCCAACCCAAGGCATTCTGTGATTCTGTCAAAGGAAACCAAATGTGGTGAGAAATGTAAGAGGAAAAGTTGGAGTGATCAGGTGGGAATTTGGCACAGAGAAATCAGCACATCCCATGTACAGGAAGAATTGCATAGAATGATAGTAGTAGTTTATATTGTCTTAATAACACTCTTACGGATGTCAAAACAGCTCATACTCAGATGATGAAACACCCCAGAGCTCAAAGGCAGACACTAGGAGTTGGATGCGATGATCCTTATGAGCCTCTTCTAAATTGGGTTATTCTGATTGATACAATTCTACTTTAGGTTATCCACGAACAGGCAGAGCTGTTGGCTTGTCCACATTCCCACAGGTAGCAATGGCAAAACTTGGAGTCCTCCCCTACAGAAAGTACCTAATCCAAAGCACGTTGTACAACAAAGTTGGCTCACTTCCTTGCTCTTCTCTTGGTAAATGGATGCACTGGGATAGAGCAGAGGGAAGGTAAATCCCCAGACCAAATAAATTCCCAAGATCTCTTCTGCTTCATGTTTTTTTTTTTTTTGTTTGTTTGTTTGTTTGTTTGTTCTTTTTTTCTTTCCTGTAGTTCTGTGAATACAGGTGGGAAGGAAAAGATAGGAAGAGATGTTGGGAGTACATAGAAGGGATGTACGTAGATAAATGAGCTTGCAAAACAGCATGAAGCTAGGAACCATGCCAGGTGACATTGCAGAAGGGACTAAGGTGTCCTTAAGGGAATACTTTCTTTTTTTTTTTTTTTCTCCCTCTGTAAACAGTCCGATTTTCATTTCTGTATGGCAGTGAATTTGGGATACAGTTACTTACAGTTAAAATGGCCACCAGTGAAAAAGTTCCTGTATGTTGGGAGAACAGGTGCACGTCATCTCCTTCACAGTATAGTTACTCATTAAATTGGAAATTTTAACCAAAAAAAACCAAACAACCAAACAAAAAAAGGCAGGTATTACAAGGGAGGACTAAATAGCTAAATGTGCACGTGATAAACGTCTGAGTTACTGATTAACTCCTGGCTTTTGTAACCCGCGAAGTTCTTAAGTTGTTTTACTAGGAGACCAAAGCACAAAGCTGTGCCAAAAAGGGCTCAACCTTTAATTAAATACTCAACCGCTCTTGCAACACATCCCTGCACTGGGACAGTTGAGACTGTACTGCCCTCTACTGATGGGAAGAATTCAGACCTGTTTGAATGCCTGCAGTGCTGGACAGATGAGTCAAAAAAAAGCAAAAGAAACATATGTGGGACAGGACAGGTTGAATATAACTTCCTCCTCAGTGTGCCAGCTGCCAGAGGCTGAAAGGGAAGGAATGCTCCTCAAGCATCTGCTCCAGGGCATTCACTGCAGATGGGATGCTGGGCAACTGAGCCTTCGGTCAGAAACACTATGACTTGTGGTCTAAGTTGATATCTGGACTGAAAAGGGGAGGCTCAGATATTTTGAGAGCAATCACACCTCGTAAAGCAATACAGCAGGATGCTGAACAGGCTGGTACTCATTTGTAAGAAAGAAGGACAAAGGGTGATTTCAGATGTCTTCTTATGCCTCTTCCATCTGGAGTTCTTACATCTGCTTGCTCTCCTGCTCAACCAACTCCATCCGGTCTGGAGTGTTGCCTCAAGCAATACTCCTGATGTCCTTCCTAATGTCACCTGTTATTGCAGCCTGTCACTTGGTTTAACTGAGAGCGTGCTGATTGCTATCTGCATATTGAGAAGCAGGATAGTGATTTTCACTATGATTAACATAATAGAATCATAGAGCTGTTTGACTTGGAAGGGATCTTTAAAGGTCATCTAGTCCAGCTCCCCTGCAATGAACAGGGACATCTACAGCTCAGTCAGGTTGCTCAGAGCCTGGTCCAGCCGGAGAGATTCAGCTGAGCAGCCTCAGAAACTGGTTATCCTTTGCAGCGGCTGGTATATTCTGAGCTCTTCTAGGCATCTGATGAACCCCCTGAAAATGTGGTGTGAATGCAGTGGGACAGCTCTGTCTTGTGGTGCAGAGAAAGTCTTTCTAAAGATTAATAATGCATTTTAACTTATATAGGATGTGCTTAAAAAAAATTACTCTGGCAAGGAACTGCAATGCCTTAATCTTTGTTTTTCTCATAGCAGGAACTCTCAGTATCATCAATACATATGGACACAGGCTTGCTAAACGAACAGGACACCATCCTATGCTGGTGGGACCCAGAACCCCACAGAATGAGTGTGGATGATGGACAGTGGTGAACGGAGCCCCGGAGGTCCCCATTATCACCAGGGACAGAGGTCACCTGTGTCTCCAGGATTAGAGTCTACCCTGTGAATGAAATCTGAAAGGATGCAAGTCCACTTTGGAATTTAACTTACTTCTCAGTCTCTATTAATACTTAGAATCATAGAATCATAAATGTTGGAAAAGACCATTAAGATCATCTAGTCCAACCATCTACCCATCACCACTGTGCCCACCAAACCATTTCCCTTAGTGCCACATCTACATAGCTCTCCAAAGACAGTGATTCCACCACCTGTTCCAATACTTCATCACTCTTTCTGACAAGAAATTCTTCCTAATATCCAACCTGAACCTCTCCTGGTGCAACTTCAGTCCATTCCTGCTTGTCCTGTTGCTGTTGTCTGCAAAAAAAGGCCAACACCTACCCTACTGCAGCCTTAATTAAGGGAGTCGTAGAGAGCAGTAACCCCTGAGCCTCCTTTTCTCCGGACAGAACAATCCCAGTTCCCTCATCATAAGACTTGTGCTCCTGACCCTTCACTTTTAGAGACACAGAACCACAGAATATGCCAAGCTGGAAGGGACCCTAAAGGATCATCAAGTCCAACTTCTCACTCCACACAAGCTCACTGAAAATTCAAACTTTATGTCTGAGAGTGTTGTCCAATTGCTTCTCAATACTAAACAAAAAGCAACAGCTATTAAAAAACACCTATGCTTTGTCATCACTATTAGCTGTCAGATAAGGCAAAAACGTGCATTTGCTGGGACCAGTTCATTCTGCTGCTTCACCTGCCT